TAGGGTTTTTGTTGCAAATTCTATAACTTTGCAAAAAAATGCTCGTGTAGAGCTGGGAGACGTCTCATTTTAATCAGAAATTTCTAATTTACAATCATGCCTTATGAAGAAACGTTTCAGTTATTGTTTAGAGTTTGTGGAAAACCGGGTCGTCAAGAACCATGGGGATAAATCCGTTTAGGCTTTTTACCATCTCGATATAGGCTATCGATTGATGTATGTTTGAAAGAAATCGTGGTTGGACAGCTAGGAATGTTCCCTCGTACGCCGTTTTGCGAGCCTGCTTTGGATTTTCCTTGACTGCTATTTCTGGCATTTTGTGCTCAGTCTGTTGTTCTTCCAGTGCTGAGAGAAACCTTCTATTCTGGTACTCTCATCCGCACTTACATCACGTTTCTTCATCTTGTAAGACGATCTTAGAAGCCAAATTTCATCTGACTTCAGCTGAAAGGAAAAATGTCGATAAAAAAAAAACAAAACGTCGAAGAGGAAAATGTAGAAGAGCAAAATGCCGAAAAGACAAACGTCGAAAGCGGATAATGGAAGAAGGAAAATATCGAAAGGAAAACGTCGAAAAGAAGGAGATTTCCTTCTGTTCTTTGAAAATCACTGAAAGAGATATTTTATTAAATTACATAGAGAAAGAGGGTAGAAGAGAAATGACAGGGTCAATAGATCGCGAACTAACTTTTCGTTTATCCTGATCAAGAGCGATAATCAGCCAGTAGCTGTTTTGCATTAAAATCTCTATTGAGAAATCAACCATTGAGTGTGTCAAATCGTTGTTGAAAAGCTGCTGTATTTCCTGATTGCTTTGCGGCTGATGCCGCCGGTGGGGTAAGGGTAAGGCGTTCATCGTAACAGTCATACTGAACTTCATCATACTGTACTTTTTCGACGAGTGGCTATAATTACTACGAGGTTGGGGACGTCTGATGAGAACCAATAGTAGTTCTAATGATAATAATACATATATCTCATTCAGTGATTTTCAAGGAACAGAAAGAAATCTCCTTCTTTTCGGCGTTTTCCTTTCGATATTTTCCTTCTTCCATTATCCGCTTTCGACGTTTGCCTTTTCGGCATTTTGCTCTTCTACATTTTCATCTTCGACGTTTTGCTTTTTTTTATTGACATTTTCCTTTTCGACATTTTTCCTTTCGATATTTTCCACCAAGACCAAAATGAATTATTTCATTTAATAGATTTTCACTAAATTTTTGTAAGTTTTTTGAGACACAAATGTTGTCACGAAATTCAGCATGATCGATTGCCTATGTTTCTATTCGTTTTCGAAATTACCACGTCTAAAGAAATATTGATCCTGAGACAGTCAGGAAGTCTGATGCTACGCCTGAACCAGGAAAAATTAAGGGTTTGGTTACGAGGGAACCTTTTCGGATGTCATCCTTTTAGAGTTTTTGCTAGGCTATTATATAGGATCTATGGGCAAAAGATCCTTGACATCGGAGAATGATATCTGAAAAGGTTTCCGCGTTAGTTCTCATTTTAGAGAGCACACTTTGAACTATTTATCTATAAAAAAAGCTAATAGATGGCTATCTAAGTTTCGGAAGATTCGAACTACTTTTTAAAAGACCTCTTAATCTTCCAAATATTTTCGGAAAACGGTTTTGCTTATGAAAATAAAGGCTAAACTATCCTCTTTCATTGCGAAAAATCACAAGTCTCTATCTTTTACTGTCTCTGAGTTATTCAATTCTGCTGGCCTTATATTTTGGGATAGATAACAGTTATGAATAAATATGAACGACCATTAGCTAGCAGATACTTACTATTCAGAAACTTATGTTGAATCATAAAGGATGATTAATTCAATTGAAACAACATGAAATTTGAGGTAAACATTATATGTTCTGAAAAAGATAACTTACCCGTTGATCCATAAGTAGAAATTAAGCGTATATCATTTTTGACTAATAACCGGCATAACTCGTCAGGACATGGCGCACCAGCATATGAAACAAATAATAATCTTTTCAATGGTTTAAAATCGATTTCACCATCATTTGTCTGTTGTCTCATTTCATTAATTAGTTGTTCTAATAATGTTGGTACACATACTAGTTTTGTTATTTTTGATGGCTTGTCAACTTTTATATTAGCTAATAATTCGCTTGGTGTTGGTGGATATAATTTTGTTAATGGTAGGGCATAAGCACCACCTGCTTGCCACGTATTGATAGATGTCCCAAGTGCCAGTATATGAAATCTAAAATATAGTAATAGCAAGTTCTCATTATCAATCAGAAGAGGTGGATTAAATACAATGAACCCCATGTTAATGTCGTATCATTTTCTGTATAATATTGATCATTTATATTTATCATCAGATGATACATGCTTAAGAGTCCTCGATTGGTTAAACGAATTGGTTTCGGATACGATGTAGTTCCAGAGCTGCAATAAAAAAGCAATTAATTATTTATTGCAAAAAAATAACAACAGTTATAGAACTCCAAAAAGTGGCGATTTTAGTAAAAAATATCTACATAGACAAATAATTGTGCGGTATATGTGTGCATCCAGTTATCGAGATTAAAAATCTACAGAAAAGTATAGACAAGGTGCTCTGGAATTTGACTAACTTCCTCTGAAGTTTTGTTTAAAAGTGATCAAAGTCACACAGTGACAATGAAGTTAAAGTGTGTGCCAAACACGGGCAATAGCGTACCGGTTATAGATTATGTCATATCAGAGGACATGTTTGGAGGACCTTTGAGTTTCGGGACACACGTGAAAAGTAGTGCCCACTTGTGAACACGCTGGGGATTATGGAAAGCTTATGCGTGACCGCGTGGTTGGTATCGTAATTTCACGACACTATGAAGTTTCTAGAAAATTTTTCCAGGCATATCGACATTTCGATCTTCTCCGTTCAATTGTTTGACAATCGATTTGGATAAGAGTTTATCAAGTTTTGATAGCTGAGCACGGATATGAAAAAAGGACCTCGTCGGATTTTCTTCAAAATCTGTTACCAATAGTCTGTGAGTGAGGTGTGTAGCCTGTCTCGCGACGAATCTAATCAGCTTATTTTTTTGCTTTGGTAATATGAGACGACATTTTTTCATGAAAGAGCATTCCATTTACGACAGGACTTTTCGTAAACGTCTTTTCTTTTGAACACGGGAGAAAATAAAAGTGGCAGAAGATTATGTTTAGCCATATACGATTGTAAACAACCATATTTTCTTTTCTAAACGGAAAATTGAGTTTATCTCAGCCGGGAATCATTGTTCTGAGGTGGTGCACGTGAGAGAAAATGTACGGAATGAAATTGTACACAACACTGAAGACTCTCAGGAAGCTCAGTAAAACAACTCGCTACTAAAAACTGGAGTATGACATTTAATAATTACTGTAAAATTTGATTAATTCGCAGTTGTTTTAGCAGAAATAATACCCATATGCTTGAAGAAAGACATTAAAAACGATTTATCTCGAAAACGAAACGTTTTTTGGTAAGTCGACCGCTTTCTAATAGCCTTCAGCTTTGTGCAGAATTTCATTCTCGATAACTATTAAAACATTGATAAACTCTTATCGAAATCGATTGTCAAACGATTGGACGAAGAAGATCGAAGATACACCTGAAAAAATTTTCTAGATACTTCATAGTGTCGTGAAATGGCGATGCCAACCATGCGTGGCCGCATAAGCTTTCCATAATCTCCAGCGTGTTCATAAATGAGAATTATTTGTCACGTGTGTCCGGAAACTATTTTGCGAGTTTCACTAGTGATCATGCGAAAAACGTGAAAAAGTGTTTTCTGAATATTGTACGCATGTTCATTTGCGTCAGTTTTTTTCACTTGTGCTCACACACTGTTTCATGATTTTCATCTGTGTTCACATTTCGTGTCACAATATTTACGGGTGTACACTCTCTGAATATTACTAATATTTCCTATGCATACTATGATGTCTGCAATAGTTTAAGCTTCTTTTTTATACCTGTGAAGTATTATTTTTATACGATCAAGTTCATCATGACTATCATCAACATAATCCTTGTGATCTAGTATTGTTTCATCATTTCCTATTGTTGAAAAATCACTAATATTAAATTCCAAATCAAATTTAATTACTTTTAAAGCATAATTAATATCTTGTATACGATCATAATATTCTTCTGTTGTAAATAAGTGTGTTGCACATGTTACATTTAATAAATGTTCATAGGCACCTTTAGAATTATTTATACTCAATGGAAAAACAATTATATTTTTTATTTTTAATAATGAATAAATCATCAATAAATATCGTACGTCACTATTACCCAATATACAAACAACTGTTGTAGTTGGTAATGAAACAAAATGATTGGAAAGTTTACTGGATAAATAATTTGTTATTCGATTTAATTGTCTATATGTTAGTGATAAATATTGTGTAGAATCTGCTGGATCTGGATAAAGTAGACTAAGTTTATCTGGTCGTTTAAATGATTGGTGTTCTAATATATTCGCAATTGATTTGTAAGGAAGATTAGATAATATATCCATAATTAATCACTTCTTTAATATAAGTCTTTCTCTAAAAATGAATATTTATTATGTAATAAATTTTTTTCCTCATTCATTTAGGACAAAACTTTTCCTTTTCTCTCCGCTTTTTTATAATTCTTGAAGTTTTAGCACGACTCTCGTCCAATATCGTTATAAATCATTATTTTTGTTTAAGTTGTATACGAATATGGAAACTAGGCTTCGAAGGTAAACAAATAAGTATGCAATAGTTTTTAGTTTGCCTATACCGAACTTACTATGCGCCGCTTAAGGATCACCCCTACTTCGCTTTTTTTTTGGAGTTCGTCGGACAAGGTGAGAAATGTCGGATAGGCTTCAAATTTTTGCCAGAGCTAGAATTTCGAAAAAGATAATCGACCGTGTTTATGTGCCGAAGTATCTAAAAAGCTCTTCTATGGCCCAAGCAAAAAAAAAATGGAGCTAGAATCGGGCGGTTTGGAGCCAGGTAACACGGTTTTCGATCCGGTTAAGCTAGTTCCACCTGAATAAGTTAGTATAAACTTTTTATTTGTTTGAAAGAAGGAAAAGAGTAATATACTGAACAAAATCACAGTCAATGATTGCATTATATCGCTCAATATACCATCTTTGTAAAAGAGACAGATAAAGGAAAAACAAACAAAGAAAGAGGAAAGAAAGAAGACAGATGTAACTACATCAGATAAAGATAGAATTCCGTGTGTAAGTGAGTTTCATTTTTTTTTTGTGAATGTAACGTCACTTGCAAAAAAAAAAAAATAATAAAACAATGCATATATGTGTATATAAGAGAGCACCGTCCCAATAGTTTAACAAGAAAAGGATAGGTTTACACAGTTTAACTGAATCTTATAAAGTTATACACTGCATCATAGACAAGTTTAAATTTATTTTCATCTTCAAAGTTAGATCGTAATAAAAGCGTGTTTAAATCAATTTTAACATCTTCTTTCTCCAATGTAGTAACAGGGGTCAGTCTAGTCTGATAATAAGCCGTACACTCAAAAAAATAGTTTTGAGTCTTCGACTCTCGTGTCAAAACATTGTTGACAGATGTTATTATCGACAAGCTTATGTATCTGTAAATGTGCCCGCAGAGTTGAGAAATCTGTTCTTATTCGACAATAATTTGCTTCTAATTTACGAGAGGCTGACGAGGGAATGACAAAGCAGGGCTTGAGCAGATGAACCTTTAGTTTCTCCCGAAACATTCTAGGCTGCATTCGAACGCAGAGTTGTGGCTGTACAGCAGAGAGAATATTCCAATCATTAACGGCTATCGGAAAAAATGAGTTATTAAAGAAATGACTTTATCTGCAAAACCAAGCAGTCGATTAGCATGGTTTGATCTTAACTCATAGTGAGTATTAGGAGCCATATAGCGCAAAATCTGATGATTTACGCGATTGAAACCCATAAGAATCTTGAAGAAAATACACATTCTGTTTGTATAAAATATCTGAGAAAATGTTAACCATCCCAAATTCCGAATGACTTTATCTGCTGCCGAACCCTGCATCGCTCCACTAACTGTTAAAGCAATTTGATACTGAACTCTCTCAAGTTTTTTAATATTTACTTGCGTAGTTATGGAGTAAATTTCACTTGCATAATTGATATTAGTCATTATATACGTTTTATACACAGAATCTAATGCATGACGAGACATACTCCATTGTAATAAACGCATGTAGTTGTGAGTGGTAGTTATCTTCCCTATCACGTAATTAATATGCATATCCCAAGATAAATTTGAGCTCAAATGTAACCCTAGATGTTTATGTACAGAAACACGCACAGGATTGTTTTCAATTAACAGTGGTGGCAAATAGAAGCTTTTTGGTAGCGCATGCCTATGAAAGAGCTGAGCATCACATTTGTCAGTGTTTAAGTCAATCAGCCAAGTTTTACATCAAAGAGAAACTTTTTCCAAGTCTGCATTTAAAATTTTGGTGGTGTTTTCAATTGAAAAACTATGATGGAATAAGGCAGTGTCATCAACGAAAAGGTTGAAAACAGCCTCTAGACCTTCTCCTATATCGTCAATGAAGATCAGAAACAGGAGCGGTCCAAGTACAGATCCCTGGGGGACCCCACAATTGATACTAGCTAAATCAGATTCAAAACCGTCAATGATTGTCTTAATTTTCCTGTCTCTTAAATAATCCTCAATCCATTTCACGACTTGCTCACAAACTCCTTTCTGTCTCAATTTATAGATTAACCCTCGATGACTAACTGAGTCAAACGCTCTTGAAAAATCTAGATAAAATGCACGCACAAATTTCGATTCCTCTAAGCCCTCGTTGATATAGTGGAGAAGGGTCAGTAGCTGATTTACACAAGAATCTTTTTTAACAAACCCTGACTGATGAATTGAGATTAGATTGTTTGTCATCAAATAATCGTACAAGTGTTTGACTATGACTCGTTCCATAATCTTCCCTATTATGGCTAATAAAGTGATTGGCCGATAGTTTTTGACAGAATGTGGGTCACCCTTCTTGAATACTGGCACTACAAATCCAACTTTAAGTGAACTGGGGAAAACTGCTTCATTTAAACTGGTGTTAGTAATATCTGCTAATAAAGGAGCAAGGACAGGAGCTAATTCTTTGGCTATTCTCGAGGTTAGACCTCCAGCGACAGCTCTTCTATGGCCCAAGCAAAAAAAAATGGAGCTAGAATCGGGCGGTTTGGAGCCAGGTAACACGGTTTTCGACCCGGTTAAGCTAGTTCCACCTGAATAAGTTTAACCTAGGATCGGGCGGTTCAACCTACTTCTTGACAGTTAGGAAGGTTGTCACCTAGGTTAACCGTCCACTTAACCGACCGGTCAAGCTGGTTCATGGTATTAAATAGATTAAACACAAGGAGGTTATCAGCTAGGTTAAATCCATTGCTTTCTAGGAGTCGAGCATTTAGAGAATTTTTAAAACATCTAAACCGCAAGGACACTTGAGAAACTTAGAAATCAATTTTACTACGAATAGTAAGAAAGCAGAAAAGTACAATCCTTTTGCAGATTCGAAGTTGCGAGACACTATTCTTTTCTGCTTCTCGTATTTTCTGTCGGAAAAAAGCATTTTCGAGAGTTGCGTCTCGAACATAAAATATGGCAAATTTAATTTTCTAAATTTTATGTGTTGGGACCAGATTTTAAGAAATCGTTCTTCATGGTGGAAAACAGTAAATACCGTTTCTTACCGTGAAGATCGATTTGTAGCATTAGAAACTTTGTGGCATTTTTGATTTTTTCTGGAAGGCAGTAGTTTTCGAGATAAAGCAACGCTACCGAAATAGCAGCGCTACTGTGAGGTGTAAAATGTATTTATCTCGAAAACTAACCGTGCCGCTATTAATCGTACAACAATCCGTCGATCCCCACATCATTGATTTCTAGTAAAAAATGTATCGAGACAAAAATTTCTATTAGGAAAACGCTACTATTGAATAGACTAAAATACCATCCCATTCGGACATCAATCAGTACAAGATTGAGCACTTAATTTGTGGGTTGATCTATCGTACGTAGCAGTGAATGGGCGGATACAAGCATCTAGGCAGAGGTGCAGAATCTTCCAAAAAAATCAAAGATTTCCCCCCCCTGAGAAAAGTTGTTCCAAAATTTTTCCCAAGCTTTATTTGAAAAAAAAAAGAAGTAAAAAAACATGGCAACATTTTGTTCTGTTCGTTACGTCTATATATAGATAGAAGAACACAAGAGAATAGAAAAACACCAACAGATGATATATCATTGTTCGTATAAATACATGACCAATATATCATGTATTCATACGTATTGGAATAATCCACAATAATGATCATCGAGGTTGACCTTGATAACAAACAGTTAATTATGAAGAGAACAAGGTGTCCCCTTCTAACAGCTTTTTCTAAAACCTTCTCCGGATAATGCAATTTTCAAAAAATTTCCCCCGCTCCCACGCGGCGGCGCATCAGGAAGATTCCGCACCTCTGGATCTAGCTAGGCAGCAGTACCAGTGCTTATACTGATTGATTGGCCAGTTTACTGGGTATACAAAACGTTCGTATACCCAAACGGTTTGCTCGCCAGTTAACTGGTACTGGTGCATACCTAAAAGCAGCACACGTTGCGGAGATTGACAAATTAGAAGTCTTACGCAGTTACTGTTTGAGAATTTACTCCAGAAGTAAATATGCTTGCACAAAAATGTTGGTCTATGGGTCATGTTCCATTATGCATATGATCTGCATTCGATCTATTCTTCTTTCTTTCTGTTTGTGTGACCTTTCAACTTATTGTAATGGTTAAAATCGTCGAACAAAGGAAGTTATCTACTCACCTCGTTGTATAACACACTCAACTGAGAGAAGAGGTCTTTCGCTCGTTTGAACACGATTCTACAGTGTATTTTTTACATTTAAATTATTTTTTACACATTAAAAACTTAATTCTCTTATCTTTAGTCAATGATCTTGGTCTTACAAAAGAGTTGTGTGTGGCCAAAAACGTGGAAAAATGGTCGCCAGATACTCCGTGGATGAGCCAACCATAAGAGAGAAAAAGTAAACGATAATACTATTTTAAACATGTCTTGGATTTGTAGAAGGCACCTGAGACAGCGTCATATTTCATGCCAGAAACGTTTAATTTATCAAAATTAAATCAGAAACGGTAAATTCAACAGAGGACGCCATGGTATAGTGCTAAAAGCGAAAAAGTTGTGTGAAATAAGTGAAAACTGCAAGAATCGAAAAACTTCACTTTCGTTTAAACTACAAAAACATCGAATATCCTTTATCTTCATCAAGCCGAACATTAGTTAACCTAGAATACCACTTAATCATATAATCGATCTTTTCTTAGTTATTAGAATGCAGGGCTCATTCAGACAACAAAAATTTCTTGATTCTTGCTGTGATTGCTACAGAAACCTCCTGGATGTAATAAAGGGATGGACACATTATAAGATCCTCCTACGATAAAAGACCTCTAAATAGAAGACTCTCCTTGAAACCATCTTGTAAAAGTCAAAATAAAAGATCCTCCTATTTTTCACCTTTTTAATTATAAGTCTCGCATAATAACAGATATTTTCTAATGAAAGCAAACTCTCTCCTCTTCTGGAGCGCATGCAGAAGAGACAAAGGGCACACATGTGAAGAGCGTCTAAGTCTAACAAAAACATCTTTCTTTCAAGGACAGAATAGAAGATGCTTCTAAGACCTTTATTCTTGCCCATTATTCTCAATTTTCTCCGCTAGAGCTAACTTTTTATGCAATAAAAGTATGATATTCGGAGTCAGCATAGAAAACTGAGTCGAATGATATTTTCCGTTGACTTTCATGTTTTGGTGAAAATCTCAGTCATTTTTCGACATGAAAATTCGGAAAAAACAAAAGTGGTCGGATAGGATAAAAAGTTACATCATTCGACTCAGTTTTCGCTGCTGACTCCGAATATGATACTTTTACTGCATAAAACGTTAGTTCTGGTGGAGAAAATTGAGAATTACTGATTTTTTCGCTCCTGATATAGAAAAAGTGGATTTTTCAAAAATGGTTAAACTTTGGAGGGTCTGTTTTTTATTCCATTGGATAGAGCCTTCAAAACTGAGCGTATCTATATCAATTTCCCACTGACAGTCTCTTTTGATAGAAAATTAGAAGCGGATTAATTAGTGATGGTATCATAATTTTCGTGGTTTTTTCACTTGTTCATGATTTTTTGGGCTGAAAAATCAACTTTAAATGAATTCTCAACATAGATTCGGGAAGCTGACAACGTGACAAGTATAGATCATTCACTTTTAATAGCTTGTAACCTTTCTCTAAGGCCAGAAATGACCATAAACTAAAAAAGGTTATTTTGACCGTCTTTCAATGAAATGCGTTTTCTTCGGTCAAAACTCGAACGTTTTCAATTTTCAACACGATATTCGTAATCAGCATTGAATTTTGCATCAAATGATGTATCTAGTGAAAACATTGGAGAAAAAAAAGTTATTGCTAATTTACTATAGAACATTATGTGTGAACAGATATATAGCATATTTTATTCTAGTAGTTAGTATTTCCACCAAATTTCGCTATCATTTAATGGATAAACAGCTCAGCTCTATTAAATGAACAGAAACACCGCGCCACATTTATAAATTTCGATTTTTCTTTTGATAAGTGATGTCGATCGTCATCCGCCTTAATATAACCTCAAATTTTGTCAGCTCGCAGAGGGCACCTCCAAAGGCCTAGTAGTGCAATAAATCGTGGGTTGGATGGAACAGCGGGTAATTGTGAAATTTCCAACAACTGAAAGAAATCGATTTTACCATTCATGTTGAGGAAGGGAGCAAAGTCATTTGCACGAGACATACCGCGCAAATGAAGTATTGTGGAAAGATTCTAGTGATGAAAAGTTGTTCACCATATGGAATTGTAGCTAGAAAAATACTTTTGTCCAGAAGGATGTCGTCATTCCAAAGTTCTGAGCTCAGCAATAAAGAACTATGCAAGAAGTAACCCTTTTTAGTAAAACTTTAGCTCAGAGCCCTGCAGGTTAATCCTAACCTAACCTAACCTATAGGTTAGGATGAGGTTGCAAGAGTTATAGGTTCGGTTCGGTTGTAGGTTGTTATTTCTAGTTTTTATTCGAATAGTTGCTACTTTTGCTCAAATGAAAACTCTTTTCTGATTTTGACGACATT